GGTGGAGCATGGAAGCCTCTCCGGTCACCTGAGGACACGGCGTCCTCCGGCCACTTGGCCGCCCCTAGCCGCTCCCTCTGCGCTGGGGGCTGAGGGGGCCACGGCCGTGTCACACTCAAGGTGTTTTCCGACCCTGAGGAGTTGATTTGCCTTCTGTTAGAAAACAAAGCAGGACCTGCTCTGGGAAAACAACAGCGTCAGCTGTTCCGCCAGGACAAGCCCACTGGCCGAGGTCACCCACAGCCCCGGCCACCATGCAGGCGCTGAGGGGGCTGGGGCCCTAGTGGTTCGAGCCCAAGAAAACTCTGCTGAGCTCTGGGCAGGACCCGGGTCTGTGTGTTCACACATCAGAGAGAAATCAGTTTTGGTTTTTGATCAGTTTAAGAAACCCTGAGGCCAGCCCGGCCCCCCATCGCCCTCCACCTCATGCTTTCGTCCTGGAGCCCATGGTGGCACTTTTTATGGCAGGCGACACGCGCAGAGTCCCCTCACAGGCCGAGCCACCCTGCCAGGGAAGGGGACGGCGTGTGAGCGGGTGGGATGGGCACAGCCTGCAGACACGCAGCGCCCGGAGCCCAGGCCACAGAGCCAACAGCCACCGGGAGGGGCTCCTGGGGGCCAAGACCTCACCCCCACGGGTGGGCAGGGCTTTGCCAGGCAGAAAATGGGAGGTGCCCAATCCCAACAGAACATACTGAGAGCGAAGGCCGGGGGCTGTGCCAGGCACAGCGTGGGTGGGCCGTGGAGGGGCAGCGGGTGAAAGTCAACTAGGACGGGGCTGGAGACACTCCCACGGTAATTTGGGGAGCAGTGGATAAAGGAAGCACAAGGCAGGAGCCCCTCCCGGGAGCTGGGGACCAAGGACACCTCCGGTAGGGTGGGAGCCCGGCTCCCCGGCTCCCAGCCCTGTGGCACTGAACCGGAGCACCCATTGTCCCTGGTGACCCAGGAGCCCCTCGCAGCGTCTGGGGTGGTTGGGAGCCTCATGGTCTGAGAGTCGGAGGGCAGGGCCCCCAGCAGGGCCCCAAGCCCCGGGACTGCCATGGCTGCTCTGCACTCGTGGTTCTCAGTGGCCAAATCTAAGCACCTGGGTGCCCTCCGGAGTCCCTGCCATGCGGGCGGACTGCCTGGGCACCAGCTAGATTCATGCGATGAACACGCGTCAGGATGCCAGTCGTTCCTTGGGTTAAACGGGTCCCCATGCTGGAGACGGCCCTGGGCCCCGGGGACGCAGGCCCCTCCGTGCTGGGCACTAACCCTCCTCTCGGCTCCGCAGGACTATGCTGAAGGAGCAGTACATCGACAAGACGCGGGTGGGAGTGTTTGGGAAGGTGAGCCACCGTCTCCTGTCTGACCTCC